AAAGGTGGATGTTCTTCTTTTCCCCCCCTTCTGTGACATTAGTCTTCATATTGTTTCAGGATGATGCTCACATTTTCTGCAGGGAATCTCAGGTGAGGTGGCTTTAAATTGTAAGTTACAGAATTGGTAAATATTTTAGCTCCCTATTTCCTTTATAACACATGTTTTACCTTTTTTCAGATAAAGAAAGAAGTAAAAGATGGCCTGGAGTTCATTGACTATGCTTACACTGTGTTTGGGTTTACTTATGAGCTGAAGTTATCTACGGTATGATAAGCTCTATTTACTTCAAATTTTAGAGATTGGAATTAGTTTTTTCAAATATCCAGGGAATCTCAGTTCAAGATAATAATCAAAGTTGGAATAAGTGTTGGTGAACTGGAAATCTGACTTGGTGTATCATTGGTGTATATCTTGAGATGCTATACTTATAAAACCATTTATGGTATGTAGAATTTGCAATGAATTTTTTTCTTTTAACATTTTAAGTATGTTAATATATTTTGGTAAAAATGGTTTTCAAATAGAGACCTAATATTCCTACATGTATCATAGTTATATTCTTCAATTCATATTGTATCATTAGGACTTGAAGACTCATGATGACTTATTTATGTTGTACTCATGCGTGGGTGTATTCTAGCATGAAATTTTTTATTTAGTGTGTTACAAATATTTGAATTGTAGAGGCCAGAGAAATACCTTGGCGATTTGGCAACTTGGGAGAGAGCTGAAGCTGCTCTTACAGAAGCCTTGAATGAGTCTGGGAAGCCATGGCAGGTCAGTTTTCTATCGATCACGTTCATATAGTCAATATTTATGGTTATTCACCCCATAGATTGGTTCCGAACTAATTGCTGTGGATAACAAATAAGAAATTTTGCTTCAGCTTACAACCACCGTTAAGCATACAGTCTATATTTGTTTTCTTAAGAATAGGGCATGACTATGGCAATATAAATGCACATAAAAATGCAGAGTTTCAGCAATTTTTTGGCCTTAATGGGTTATTGCTTAAGTCAAATATTAGTTCAAGCTTAAGACTAAATGGGATTTCAAATTGTGACCAGCTACTTGGCTGGAATGTTTGTGAGCCAAAATGGAGAGTACACCATGTGAGTTTGTTGTGCTGCTCCGTATTCTTCTCTTGTATTTGACATCTTTTTATGAGAAAAGCTGGTTTCATGATTTTGTGTATTTCATTCACACTGCATTGTTTTCTGTTTGAAGAATGTGATCTTAAATTATTTTTCTCAAATGAGAAGTCAATTTGAATAAAATTTTGCAAGTTGAAAATTCGAAGTGCTCTTATTGAGGTAGACTGATTTGTCTAATTAAACAGTGGAATTCTCTATTGCTAAGAGAAGAGAAAATCTTGCATGTTTGGCTTGCATGTTGTGATCTATTTGTTGTGCTTTGTTTTCTCCGTTTTATATTTAAGGACTATTTTATGTTGCCATCCATTTTACCAGGCTATTGTCTAGATGCTTATGCTCAAGAGTCATGTTGTACAGATTAATGAAGGAGATGGGGCTTTTTATGGTCCGAAGATAGATATTAGTGTATCTGATGCTTTGAATAGGAAATTTCAATGTGCAACATTACAGGTTTGTGATGTTCTATTGTGTTTCATCTTCTTCTTTATCTCCACTCTCTAATTTGTTGTATTTTTATAATAATTATCACTTATTAGTTGATGCCCTTTTTTGCAGCTTGACTTCCAACTTCCTGATCGCTTCAAGTTGGAGTACTCAGCAGAGGATGAAGCCAAGAGGGAGAAACCTGTTATGATACATAGAGCTATCCTGGGTTCTGTTGAGCGTATGTTTGCTATATTGTTGGAGCACTACAAAGGAAAATGGCCCTTCTGGCTTAGTCCACGCCAAGCTATTGTTTGCCCGGTGTCAGCAAAGTCCCAGGATTATGCAAGAGAGGTAGACTACCCTAGCAGTATGCTCCTTAGCTTGTTTGTTGACCTCTATTTTGTCTTCATTTTGTCATTTTTCGTTGCCAACCTTATGGAAGTTATTGGTGCGTCTACATGTAATCATATATATATGATATCTTAAAATTCTATGGATTTTCCTCTGCATTCTGGCATGGTGGTTTCCCCTGTATTGGATCAGAATTTTATTTTTGCGTGGTTGCATGCTACTGGTTCTTAAAATTGTCAAGGTAAACTTGGCGTAGCGTATACCTTATTTCCCTCATTTTACAATTTCAAATCATGACGATGATGGTAATTTTTGTCTCTTGCTTTGATATGTTTGTTGTTTGCAATTAAATGTCTTTATATCTAATCTCGAGTATCAGTTTTTCTGTTATTTTCTTATTTTTGATGTTTGACTTCATTATGTCATGACTCAGGAAGCATTATTTATGTTGTTCTGAAGTCTTCATATGAACTTGCCAAAGTAGAGAATTGATTACGTACTTGAGGAAATTTCTGAGAGCAAAGTTGTATATCATAGATGTGGGTGAAAACTATTTAAAACAGGACCTTGCATTTTTTTATCTTACTAAGGATATGGTTGCCAAGTAGGGCACAATGTCATAATAGGATATTAGGATCTGTTTAGCTGACCCACCGAGTGGGAGAAGGCTTGTTTGTTGTTTATTAGTGAATACGTTGTTATGCTTGAGTCATTGATGCCAAAGTCATCTCTTGTTTCATTTTCATAGGTTCAGGAGCAGATTCATGGGGCTGGTTATTATGTAGATGTTGATTTGACTGATAGAAAGATCCAGAAAAAGGTGCAACGACTGGCATCCTCAATTATATCGAATTTCAATGATTTAGCAGTCTTATCATAAGCTCTCTCAGTTTTTACATGCAGTTAGGCTTCAGAATGAAGCCACAGTGTCATTGATGACTATCGTACATTATCAATCTCGTTTTCTGCCTTTCAGTCTCCTATGAGCTTGCTCTGAAGTTTTGGACTGAATTATTTGCACTTGTTTGACCTTTTCACATTGCAGGTACGAGAAGCTCAGTTGGCACAATACAACTATATATTGGTTGTTGGGGAAGGGGAAATGAATACTAAACAGGTTTGTCTACCCGAAGTTATTGAATAGACTTGGGTACCTTTTTGCATTGTGAATGCAAATTTCTTTTCATTCCTCACTGTTCATTTTCGTTCTTTAATTAGACCTATGCTTGGTTAACCGTAAATTATCATGTCTCCCTCCCTTAATTGTCATGTATGCCTGAAATGTTTTCAGGTGAGTGTACGGGTGAGGGATAAGGGAGATCTCACTTCAATGAGCATAGAAGGCCTACTCCAACACTTCAAGGATGAAATTGCAGCCTTTCATTAGGACGGACGTGTTGTTGGATTCTATCATTGCACCCTGATATGTGCTTTGGTGCATATCTCATTGATGGTGACCATGGTTTCCATGATCAATACCATTTTTGTAATTGTATTCTTTTTAAATTTAACATAGTACAACAAATTGTTATTGATGGATCACCTGCGCAGTGGGTTTTTATTTTTGATAAAATTATTGTTTGGTCAACTGTTGAAATACTTGTGTTTTTTGTGGGCAGCTAGCTAGGCCTCTGCCCCTCCCTCCCTTTTTTATTGTGAGAGTAACAGGATAACTATCACCTGCTGCGTTTTGAAGGCAAATCATGCATTTAATTAAGAACCATTGGATGATAAAATGCATGCAATGTAAATTCAAGCTCTTACATTAAATTCTAATGCATCCTCCTCAGTAAGACCTGTTGTGTTTTGTGCTTTACATCTTTATTTATAGTTTGGAAATTTGGTCGTTTATTTATAGAATTCTACGCCTGTTTTCTTCTGGTTAGGCATCGGATATGAGCCATATTTATTACCACAAAAAAGGACAAAATCGCCTTATATGCTTTTCTGCCTTACTCGGGCATTATCATCTCCCTTCTGTCTCTCCTCCGCTAGCAGGGCAGGATTTTAATATCTGGAAACCTGATCATCATAAACAGGATTTTTGCTCACTATACCTTAGGTTTCTATTTTATTCCTGTTTTTGCAAATTTCTATTTTTGGCCTTTGTAAGCAAAAAAATGCATTAAAATATGAATTCAAATACTTTCTAAGGATTATGTTAAAACTGTTTTTTTTTGTAAAAAAAAATTTCAACAAAGTTTGAAAATATTTAAAATGCAAGAAATTTGATTTTTGTACGGTGCAAGAATGTATGATTTTACTATGTATAATGTATGTTTGAAAAAAATTTATGAACTATAAAAAAAAATTTATATAAATCTTTGTTCTTTTATTAAGTTCAATCAAGTTTTTAATACTTTTTAAAACCAATAAATTCTTATGATTAACAATATTAATTGCAATTAGTTAAAATTTCATTTATCATTTTATATTCATGTGGTATTAATATGGCACGGATTATGTGACAATATTGAAGTTAAGGGTAAAAATGTTATCTAATTATGCTATTATATCAAATCAACCTGATACATTATCATTCATTATGATATTTTAGTATGCTACATTAACATCATATAATATAAAATGACAAGTGATATTTTGATAAATAATAGTTAATTAACTATTAATTATAAAAATTTGTTTAGTTTAAAATAAAATATAATAATTTAATTAAAAATAATAAAAAATAAAAATTACTTAAAGTTTATAATAAGCTTTATAAGATAAGGTTGAAGAAAGAAAGAAGAAAATGAATGCAATCATCCGGAGGGGAACCTTATACTTTTCTTCCAAATGAATAAAGCACATGAATCTTGGCATCCTGGATATTTTCAAAGCAGTTAGCCCTCATCATTAGGAAACTAATGCAGTCTTTTGCTTCATTTTCTAATTAGAAGTTGGTTAGTTACCACTCTTTTGACATGTGATTTACCAGAAGGCAGTGCATATGAGTGTCTGTCGTAAGCGATTCTCCATAGCCAACAGTCTCCTACTCCTACCTCTCTTGTCAAAGCTGCGTTACATGTCCTTGAGTAAGCTATGCGTTGCAGTGCAAAAGTAAAATCCACTTAACAATCATGTAACATGGAGGTTCATATATATGAATGGCTGCAAGGTTATAGATCAATGATATTATATACTTACTAGGAATCTAGGGCTAAAGCCAGCTGCATCATCTATCTAACAAAGCTGCTAACTTAAAGCTTAACTTAGTAGAAACACCCAATGAGACAGAAAGCAAAAAAGCTGGCTAACTGAAACGTTAGAGAAATCAATGCGCTGATCCCTGCACAATCTAATTGTAGGACTAGGCTATATGTGATATATCTCTCATACATCAAAATCCACTGTTGGGCCTGCCGCTTGTTACATTCAGATCTTGGTGATGATGAAAATGCTGTTGACGACGGTAAGCAGAAATGGAGCTGCTACTTTCACCCATATCCTGTTCAGGCCTACACTCTTCATCGATTTCTTCTTTGGCCACTTTCTCCATCCCAATGTATTCTACAGGCCTTTGTGATGATAAGAACTGTGACTCTGACAGTGGCTGTGATTCGCAGTACCCGGAAGATTGCGGCGGTACGACTGATGGGAGCTTGGAGAGAAGGGCCTCAAGGCTGCTCATGGAGGGGGTTATCTTCATTGGCTGATTGAAGTGGTCATAGAATTCAGTTGGTGGTGCAATTGTCGCTGGGAAGTGCCATGCTTCTGGCGTGCCATACCCATCTACTTTAAAAGGGTAAGCAGATGATGATGGGTGGGGCAAGAGTACTCCGGGAATGCTTTCTATGTAGCTGAATTTCTTTCTTAGTAGAACTACATAACTCAGGTCTTCAATTACCTTTTGCATAATGAGAAAAAAAATGGAAATATATGGGACTGTCAGTGAAACATTACAGCAAAGCAAGTTGTGTGTGAACTTCATAGAGAGAGAGAGAGAGGACCTTGTTAACAGCTCCTAATTGGACAACACCTTCTCTAACCGCAATCAAGGCTATGGTCTGCAGCAAAGATGATCAAGTCAAAGCAAGTAAGTAGATCTACCCAAACTCTTCAGAGTTTTGTAATGTTTATGATGTTATATACCTTTATACCGGCCTGGAACTGTGCCTCCCATGTCCTAGGATGCTTCAGGAAAGAATTTAGTGAGAAATAGACATATATTTTTCGGCTAACAGATGGAACGTGAGATGACCAACTGGTGTAAGCATGGATGGGAAAACATTTATGCTTACTGAGTCTGCCGAGTTATGCCATGCTGACAAGAAGTTGATTTCCTGGTCATTTGGTTCTTTGTATATCCACTTGTGACTATGATCTGCAGCCACTTTTCCTATCAAACTGCCCATGTTAAAAAAAAATTTCAGTTTGCTTGAAATGTTATCTACAGTTAATTGAATTACCTCACAAAAATTTCAACATCAGAGTGATCAGAGTTCAAGGCACATCAATTTCTCACCCTTCTCCATAGTTGTAGATTTCGTGGGACATCTTGAAGAAAAGCTCTGGTTGCAGTCCTTGATAGTGTTGAAACTCACAACTGCCATAGACTGAGGACCCCGTACAGTCTCCGGAGTTGATTTCAGCTGCTGAGGCAGCAAAGTTGCAGAAACCATCTTCCCAAACTAATATCCTGCGATTTTTAGTATGATAGCGTTACCAAAATAAGGATCACATATGCATGGCATATCGTCCTTGACACTATAAAAAAACTGAAAAAATTGTACCAGTTTCTCCTGTTTCCTCTTGACCTGTCATAAGCTGCTTGACCATCCCATCTATCATCAAGTAAAACAATTATATTACGAAAGGCATAATAACTTATAAATTGGTAAGAGATTATGACATTTGTATTCTTTATCTACGGAATGAGTCAAGACATATTAGATCCTTTCTCTTGGAAGAAAAGGAAGCCTACTATTAACGAGAAAGAAAAGGAAGCCTATAGTGCTTTCTTAGTTGGCTTTATGCTTCCTTACTTGGGTGGTGGATAATTTCTAGGTAAGATCCTCCAGAAGACCGCATAAACCCACTGAGAGTTCTCATGAATGCACAAGCTTCTTAGTGTGTGTTGAAGGAGATGAGTAACAGCTAACGGGCTGAGATGTTCCTCCATCAATTCTTCACAGTTTTCAGACCCTCTCTTTCCTTCTTTTTCCCTCTCTTCTCCCCTCTATTGTTATCTTTCCTTAAAAGAAGGGAAACCCCAACATCTTAACCTCCTTTATATAAGCAAACCAACATGGAAATGTCACATTTATACCTCTCTCTCTCTCTATTACTGTATTGTATTTAATCATGCTTTAAATTTTACCAAAATGATTTTGAGGGCCCACGCTTTTGCCTGCTCGGTTCCCAACGGTCTCTTTATCAATCCTCCGTTCAAAACTGCTGTCCAGTACTTTTTTTTCCCTCTCTTTCTCTCTCTTTCTACCCTTATCCCAATAATGAAATACTACTATCACAGACAGACCAAACCTTATTATTCTTAGGCTACATCATGAGTTTGCTCCGTTTCTCCGAGGACCCGTATCTTTCTCTTCAACCCCAATGTACATTTTCTTTTCTTACCTTTCTGACACATCAAGGTATTACCACTCATTTCAGTCCCAGGAAAACTTATTTCCACCTTCTCTATTTATTCACTCTCAATGTCAAGCTGCTACTCCATTGAATTTTAGCAGAGCATGTTTAATTGTTCATGTAGGTTAGTTCTCTCTCCCTCTCCATTTTTATCACCATCATTTTGGTACGTCCAAGTGTCCGTCTATATGGGGCATATCAACAACCAAATGCTATCACACTTTATTACTTTTTCTACTACAAGTATGAATGCAAGATTAAATGGTTTCGTGATTTGCGTGAGGTTTGTGCGCGCGCGCGTATATATATATATATATATATATATGTCTTAATTAGCTTGTATTGGTAACTTTTATGCTTTCAGATTCATGAATGCAAAGAGGGAATGAGCTGGGAAGAAGTGTGACTGTGATTGACGCGGTTTTCGGTTGTGTGATTGTGATATTTTATACGAGAAACGTCAAATTTTGCTGCTACTCTCAGTACTTTGTAACGCACATAAATAAGAATACGCATGGCGAGAAGAGATGATATATTTATATTGCTGCACGCCTGCATGACTTCACAAATTGTCAATTGTATGCCATTTATCTGCCACATTCTTATAACATGAAAGTATGCATAGATTGTAAGCCTGAAAACAAAGGACCCCACCCTCGGAAGTGCTAGAGCACAAAAATCACATGATTCTATTGATTTCTTGACAGATCCAATAAGTGGTCTGTTTGACTAGCATTGGATGGAGCCATTTTATTGTAATGTTGATAGATGGACCTTTGAGCTACCACTCAAGAAGAGTTCCTATTGATAGGAAATTCAGATAATGAAGACCTCTGAATGGTTTACGATAAATCGATGTTAGAAATAAAGCAAATCAGGGTTTGAAATGTTGAGTTGCAGTAATACGGTCATTGATCATCAGGCTGCTTCGCAAACAGTTTTGTACGCTTGCACATACACGAACATTGACGCAAAGATGCACGAGACCCAGTGTACTTTCTAGTAGTAGATTTCATCCTCAGGTAGAAAAGATTTTCATTAGTTTGGGATCTATCTTTCCCTTTCTTTCTCTCTCTCGTCTGCAGTTACATGATGACTAAAAGGAGCTTTCAGTGCTTTCATTTCACCTTCCTGACACCAAGAAAGTTTTGACAGACAATTATACTCTTGTCTTTGACCGTCTGTTTATGAGAAAGTGAGATCATTAGCCTTGTAATCAGCCTATAATTCACCACATTATCATCAACCAGCTAGCATTTGTCACCCCTTCATTTCTTGATAGCGATAGGCATTGCTATCTACTTGTATATATTGATTGATACTCCTATGGGCTTTGCCCTCTGGCTCCTTCGAGGGCAAACCTGTTAGTGTTAAAGGTGGGGTTATAAATAGGTTCTGTTATTGTTTTTGTTTAAAGTTTTGTAGTGCATAAATGTACGGTCCCTTTGCAAGGTAAAAACAGCAGAGTTGGGGACAGCCTCTGCTGGCTTGGTGGCAGCAAAAGCGATATGCCGGGGCTCCCAAGTGAAACTAGCTTTGGATTTTACTGATGAGGGGTGATTGTTCTAGTGCTATATTATATTGGTTCTTTCTCTTACTTTATACTCGTATATGATTTTCTTTTCTTTTTTTATTTTGTGTGTGTGTGTGGAATATAATTGGGGAGAAGCTAGTATGGGAGAAAAGAGTGGCACAAGAGCCTTGGGTCAAGATAACAGGTGTTGAAATGCCCCATCCCTTCTTCCATGAAGGAAGTGGAATCTCTGCTCTTCCCATCCTTCCCAATGTCCCAATTGGTATTAAAAAAGTCTTTTAAAAGCTAACAAAGAACCAAAACAATCAATAAAGAAAGACTGTAAGAGTGTTTATATATATATATATATATATATACAGTATAGATGTTTGTCTGATGAAGATTAATTATCAGACAATGAAACACAATCCAATAATGCATACTTGGAAGCAGGCAAATATCCCCATCCTCCCACAACTCTTGCCTTGTTGTTTGTGAAATGAAGTTGGTATAGGATCAAAGAAGGGCAAAGGAGAGTCTAATTTAATTTGATATTGATTTGGAATGTTTGATGGTATATTATATAATAGATTACAGGTAGGGCTAGATTTCCTTTTCTTGCTTTTGAGAAACAGAGATGCAAAGTTGAACTCACTTCCTTGGGTTTTGATATCGATGGTGTCCAAAGATCTATGTTTCAGTGTTTCTTGAAGTGATGAAATATCTTATGATCTAAACAAAACACTTTGTTTTCTACCTTTGTTGATTGATATAATAATATATTACTGTATAAAATGTAATCCACATTTCCCGACAAACCTGCTAGCTCTTCCCAATCACTTGTGTATGCATGCATCTTCATGCATACCATGCTTATGTGCCCACTGGATATGGCATGTTGTCCTGAGTAATGCGGGCATTTTCCCTTTCCCAAAAAACGCAACTAATGCAATGGCTCGAGCATTAGAAGGCTTGGACAAGTTGATAAATCTGTGTATATCTATATATATATATACTTCTTTAGGTTATGAGAGTGCTCACCCTCCGCCCCACCAAAGCAAGTGCTCAAGTGCCTAACCTTTACCTTTATTAGCTTCCTGGTCTTTTCACCTAGTGAAAAAAAATGGCTCAAACTAAACTTCATTAATGCTTAATGTTTGGTCAGCAGATGTACAGCTCCGGTCATCGATCTGTAACAACCACTATTAGTGGAACACCAATTTTGAAGCAGCTGTATGCCATGAAATCTAAATGTTTTTTTCATGGATCTAGCTAGCCCTCACCATTTGTATACACTTAACTCAAAGAGTCCAACATGCACGTTTTACATGATTAGGGATGCCCTACAGCAAAGATGTATGGGTGGGACAGGAAATTTTAAAGGGCGAGAGAGGTCTCCCAGAAGATGGTGAGTTGGAAGGGTAAAGAGGAAAATACGTAGAGATGTAATTTTCTAAAGAGGGAGCTAAACCTGGTCAAATGCATCAAAACAACTGGGAATTCTAACTTTCCAACACAGAGAAAAACTCCAAGACATCACGTGAAGCATCGTGGTCACTATCTAGGACCTAGAAAAGCTTGTGTATCCCACCCAAAAACACTAAAGAAAAATTTTGAAAAAAAAAAAAACGATAAGAGAGAAGAGACTGAAAAAAAGACAGTCCTTTTTAGGCACTTTCTCTAACCTTTTCATCACTGTAAAACCAGTGTTTACTTCAAAAAAGAAAAGAGCAAAAACTTCAGTAGCCCTTGACTTCCTGCCCACACCCAACTTTTCCTTATCATCAATGTAGGAAAAAGACCACCTTATACAATATTGTACCACAAGGCGGAGCATAGCCTGCATGCTCCCATCACAATAGGAAGCTGCCATTTAAATCCAGGCCATACGATAGGGTGACATGTAACCTGGTGGACTATTTATGCACGTTTGATCAATCACTAGATATTCTCACCTCAAAGTCGGGAGCAAATATTTCCATTTCTTTTGTCTGCTTTCATGCTGATAATAAAATGGAAAGTGATCCATCGACTTTCAAGATCTCCCGCTTGAGTAGTCAATCTATTGAACGATGCAGATGATGGTCCACCTACCCTTATTGTGGATACAGATGTTCAAATCAAGATCTTCTCATTGAGAGCTTGCAAAGGTTTGGCCATTCCCTCCCTATGGACCCTATCACCATCCACTTCACTATCATCATCCATCAACATCACCAAAATAAAGTAGCTATACCAAACAAGAAGAAGAAAAAGAAATAAATCAAATCTTATGTTGTAATCACAATTCTTAAACATATATAACCCTTTTGTTTAGATCACATTCTTGTCACAAACATTAGAGGGAAAGTGAACCTTGGAAATGTAAAGTAGATCCTAATGACAATATTGACGGAGGCATGCATGCAAATGTGTGCTTGATCAGATTATGGAGGGTTAGCAGCCAATTAAACTAGTGGTAATCATCAGAAAGCATAATTTGAGTGAAGTGAGAAAGGTATATGATTGCACCACTTGGGTGTGGGCTAGCTTTTGATGATGCTATCTTCTTTAACCAACAGAGTACTGAAAGGGACTCACAATCATAGAGAGATGGAATAGGCATCTAAAGCCCCTTGGTTGAGGACAACATGACTGAGATATGTGGGGGCTATAGAGACAGGGACATTTGATCAATCAGCCAGAGAGTGACCCCGTCTCCCTTTTTCCTCTAAATGACCCCTCTCCATGCATGATACATAATGCACATCCTCTCTCTTTCTTTCACGAGCACGCGTAAATGAGTATGTGTATGTATGTATGCATGTATGTAAATACAGCACACCCGTTTGAGAAGCCTCGAAAGGATTAACAAAACTGTGACGCCATATTGCATTTTCTCCCTAACTACCAACCATAGTATGTCTACAAATTATTCATTATTTTTCACCCTTAAGATGTCCCCAACAATGTCATTTCAATGCCAAACAATCGCACTTACCTCCTTTGCCATTTTTCTCCTTTGATTTCTTTAAAGAAGGGATTGCACATGGGGGCATGGCCGCAGTGTAGGCAAGATGCTCTTTGCTCTCTCGTCTCAAAAGAAAATTTTTTTTTGGAATATATTGGAATTGG